CAACTAAAAATTAAAACAAATTTTTTATGATTCAACATCAATTAGACGTCAAATTGACGTTTAATCGTCAGTCATTTCTCGCTGAGAATTTGTGAGATCAATTTGCATGAAGAGTGAACAGCAACAATACTTAAATATTTAAATTTCAGGATAGGTATACATGTTCGAGTAGCATATGGTCATTTGCTGTGACATTGTGGGAGGTAATGAGTCTGGCTAGAGAAAAACCTTTTCAACATCTGTCAAATGATCAAGTTATTCAGAACGCTGAGCATATGTATTACGGAGCGGAGCTACAAGTAAGTAAATTATCTAATCGGCAATCATTTTACAATTAATCACTCTCTAATTCATCGATTAATCATTAAATCTTGCTCGAAAATTGAATTTTAACACATTACAAATTAACTTAATCTTAAGCAATCAAATTTTGGATATATTACATTTAATTGTGTATTAAAAATAATTGTACGAAATATTAATACAATTGGAATTTATATTGTAATAGTCACAAATAAAAATTGAATAAAACTTTTTACTTATTACACTAAAAAAAAAATTTAATAATAGCTACTAAATGTTTAGTGAAATAATACCAATTAAATGTTTGATTAATATAGCCAGAAATTATTTTGCTTTCCTAATTAATTTAATAAATATTATCGTATAGTAATATTATTTGGTAGCTATTACCAAAATCTTTTCTCAGTGTATTTGTTATTTCACTTCGAATACTTATATTTTAGGTACTTTTACCGAAACCAACAATGTGTCCGGAGGAAGTCTATCGGATGATGTGCTCATGTTGGAGAAGAGATGAAACATCGCGACCAACCTTCAAGGATATCTATACGTTCCTGAAGAATATAATAGCGGACTATCGACCTGGTGCATAAATAACCTTGGTTATTGTACTGTGATACGAAATCGACAGCTAATCTCCCGGAATGTGAACGACATCGTCGGAAATATTCCGAGCAGGACAAAGCATTACATGAGATCATACTCACCGGGCATGACGCCTTGCGTGAAATCAGATTCTCCAGAAATGTACAATCGTTAGTTTTAGATATACGTATGTATCGGAGGCACTAGATCTTGTGTTTCCTTCCTTGCGCAGAAAACTCGACAAATGAAAAATCGCACGCCGAGTACAAAGCTCAGCAGTGATCGAAAATGATTTCCCGCGGACTCTATTGCGCGTAATCTGTTAGCCGGACAAGTAATAGCGATAATGGAATGAATGCCAAACGAGCACAAGGAGAGAGGTATAATTGACGTATAAGTGTTAAGTTTGTTTTCTTCAGATAATCAAGATCGATAATTTCGCTCTTCAACTCGAGTGTATAATCGCGTCACTTTTTTGTCTGGACGTTTAATAAGATTTCATTTTCTAGTCAATACAAATCTTTAATTCTCACGAAAGTGCTATCGTGTACAGTATTCTAACATTAATAATATGTAATGTACGCTAATATGCTCAGTACTGATAAAGTCTATCCATTTGTACATATAAATTTAGGTCTTAATGCTAGGTAAATGAGAAATTTTTATGGCAGTAAGTTTCACGACGGCTATTTCCTTTTTTTTTCCTTTCACACGTTAAATTATTACATTCAACTTTTCTATAAGCCTGACGATACGTGAAAATGGCACTAAAATTCTTTTTTATATTAAATCGCAAATATATAACGAATTGAGTTCGCTTAAGTATAAAAAAATATCCATAAAAATAAAATCGAGTAATATTTGACAAAGTCAGATACTTAGTCGATTAAATAAAGCCGCGAGATAATTTTATTAGCTTACCGTCTTACTACGCCTTAAAAATTTCAACTTAGTCATCTTGTACATTTGAAGCCCATCAATAGTAAGTACTTATTATTCCATTATTCGTTTAAATTGGAATTGTACTACGCTAAGAGGTGTAGATTACAAGATTTACCCAAAGACGTAACATGAACATATCTTCGCTCATTTTTATTTAAGAATAGAAAAAGATGCTGAAAACATCTAGCAACGTATCGTGCTTTGGAAGAAATAAATAAAAATTTAAACAATGCCATATATTTGTTGGAATTTCAAATTACGGACGCTTGAGCGTATCGACAAGATAGCAATACAAAATAAAAATGTTAATAAAAAGATATAGAATAATGATATAACAATATGTATTTGTCTTATTGCTGCAGAATAATTTCATTTACTTGTATTAATTTTATTTATATAATATCCATTGTAATTATTTTTCGATTCATAATTAATATTTTTATATAATTACTATTATAAAATAAGTTGACTAATAATGAAATTCAGTTCGTCAATATGAAAGTAATTTACAAAAAAATAGAAACGTTCAAACGTCCTAGCCCTTATTTTTCAAAGCTAAAAAGACTAAATAAATTTTCAGATTTATCGTTATAATTGGTTGTCGGATTAAAATATGTAAACAAGAACAAAATTGATATCAATCTCGATGAATGATAAAATTGTTTATAGAATGCTTGTTCGTAGAGTGCTTGATGACGAGCCAATCTTTTCAATAAATTCATTCATCTGAAAGATCCAATGAAAGATCTATTACCACATCATTTGATTTGGTTAATCGATTATGAATATTAAATCTTCCAGGCTCTTAATTGCAGGAACACAAAAGTTATTAACAATAACTCATTTAGAAGCTTACAGTATATTCAATCTCAAGACGATCATTTTAAGTATTTTTTATAAGACAAGTATGAAACATACTACTAAACTCTGAAAGATGAGACAAATGCTTATATAAAGATTTTTTATTATTTTTGCATACTATATATAAATTTTACTCTGTTAATAAAGTTATATCTATGTATTAAAAAAAAATCTGTATAATGAGTAACGTAATACAGCTGGCATATTCCTATTTTGCACACTATAAAAATTTTCTTTATTTAAAAAAAAATATTTCTCTCTACCCGCTCGTCAAATAATTCATATTTTTGCTTCCGATATAAATGAAAATATTGCAAATTTCCCAATGTAATTAATCATTCTTTCGGGCAGCAATATAAAACATGTACTATATTATATTTGCACGCGCTATTATTATACATTAAATTTTATAATTTTACATATAATACGCGCAAGAAATTCCATGAGTAAAATTCTGATATATAATCTCTGGCATGTTATTAGATGATACCAGAAAATTTTCCGTAGAAAATTGATAAATGAAACTGATAAATTTGTGTCCATAAATAATATTACAAAAAATGTTTGTCTAACGTATTAAAAATACGATTAACTCGTCATCATGATTTCAATCTTAGTATATCAAATAAATTCTATAAAAAATTATTTCGTTGCATTGGTAATTAATGAGAAAGAAAAATTATTTGTGTTTGTTCTATGCAATAAGTATATTTTTAGCCTTAAATATGAAATACAAATATGAATTTGTATCTAGGAACATGTCTGGCTATATTGTTGTCTAAAAATATGTTTAATTGAATTGGACAATACTATGTGCATCATTAAAGACTTAGCAATAAGATTAAAGAAAAAGAGAGTGTATATGCATTAGTTTAAAGCCCAATTACATATAAAACATCGTTCTGTGCATTACAACAAACTCTTTTCCCTATGACACAATTGACTTAACAGACTTTCGTCGATTATCTCCAACTAACTTATCAGTACATTGCACAAAAACGTGAAAAAAACATTGCGATGCTGGTATTACATATTTTGAGTATAGAAGTAAATGCAACAAGTGCACGAGCAATAATGAATCATCAAGATATAAATGAGTTTTGTCTAACATACATAACGATAAAAATAGTAAACTGAGCGCGCGTCACACATATCTCTCGACCGTGCGTATGTGT